TTTTCTGCCAAATGTCCATTAAATAGATTAACGTCATGTGAGTGGATCAGCTGGACACCCAAATATAAGCCAGAGACAGAGAGCAATTACTGTCCTGCTCAGAGAGGAGATTGGGAACAATGGCGCCTCGTTTAGAGGGGAAACGTGATCCGGAGGCTTTGGACGGCTGGCTGTGGAATCGTTCCGTTTTTCTGCGTGTCTGGGCTGTGACTCTTCTTGACCGTACGGACGGACAGGTCTCAGCTAGGGAGATAACCTCGGTCCAGAGTCACCGGGGTCATTAGCAGGATCCGGTCAGGCTGAAGACGTATTTAGGGTCCAGTTTTTGCTCTCTCTGTCTTCATTGTGGGTCCTAACCCGCTGTGTTTGTGTGCATATTTCCTTCAGAGTGTTGGAGACGCAGGTGTTTCGGGCCAGTCCTTATCCTCCTCATCGTCACACACACACACACACGCGCACACACACACACACAAACGTGCGCTCCTCCTCTCTCACCTCCACGACTGCAGCCTCGTCCACTGGGAGACTGGTTGGTGGTGCCACTCATGTGTTAACATTGCCATGGCAACCCCTCTCTTCCCCTTGCCCACCACACTACACACACACACACACACACACACGTAGAAGAGTCCCTAGCTCACGCCCACAACCTCAAGACCCACACACGCGCACGGTAAATACCGTAGACTACATCCGGTGCAGGGCAAACTTAATCCACACGCACGCCATCTTTGAAGAGTCCATTCAAGGCCTTTTTGAACAACGCCGGACGAGGTCCACGGGCAACAACTTTGGTCTTTTTTTTGTCCCCCCCCCGAAAGTGGCATTGTAGAGGAAACAAACAATCTCTGCCGCCCTGTTTGACAGGCGCTGATGAGAAAAAAAACTATTACGGCTGAGCGGGCTACAGACGACCTCCTGTCAGCGGTATTGTCCAGTCAGATCAGTTTTAGGGCCCCGGAAGCCGAGGCACTGTTAGTACAGACCTAGAACACTTGACTGTGTGAGCATCTTTGTTAGACGGCCCTGTTTAGGCGCTCGCCAATGGCTCACACTGTTCTTCTATGGCGTCTACGCGCGGCCCAAAATGAATGGCAGACAAATAATCTACAAAAATAAATAAATATGAGAACGAAATCTTAGCAATGCGGCCTTTTAAATCACTTCTGATCAACGAGTTCTTCGGCTCCGCAGCCAGAAACGACGAGCATTCATTTTACAACTTAAGAAGAAAAGGGGGGATAAAGATGGCGGAGCGCGGCGCACTTTACTGTCCATCTTAAAATGGCTGACATTACAGCCTCCTCCAACTGTAAAAAAGCCGGGCAAACGCCAGCTCCTGCTGACCAAACCTTTCTTGTATGGGACAGAGAAAGAAGCAGGGGCTGCCCCCCCTCTCCACCCCCCCCCTCTCCCCCTCTTCCACCCCAACCAACTCCAAGGTTTTTCTCAAAGCCCAGACATTTCTTTGGGTTGGAACTGAGCAAACATGCTGGTTTAGAGAGGCTTTTGAGCGTGCTGGGCTCCGATTCGCCATTGGTCCGGTGACAAAAGCAACACCGAAAAAAGAATGAAAGAGCCCAAATCAAAGTAAAAAACCTGTGTTGAACGGCGCCCTTTCTTCGAGGAACGAGTATTGTGTTAGGGAGAATTTTTCTCGTTGGGATCATGAGGCATGCTGCTTACATGAATGCTTGTTTGTATTAAAACAGCACCGAAATAGATCTGGCTGGCATTAAATAGTTGTTTTTTTTTCTTTCCCCTCTCTGAAGTCCAGGAATGTTATACACTCCGTGTCAGCTAAATCAGCAAATCATGACCATATGACCTTCCTTGGTATTCCTCTGGCACGGGATTCGTTTTGGAGCTGTGGGAGGGACCCAGAAAAATATGACATGTAGCTGCTGCTGTTTCAAGCCGGAATGGGAAATTCTTCAAAGTATTCCAGGTACAGGAGCATGTGTTCCAGGGGGGAGTGGGCCCTCGCTGCATCGGGCCTCTGTGTACAAACACTCGGCCGTGGCCGTGGCGAAAAACTATGAGCTGTGCCTAATTGCGGGGGGGGTGGGGGGGGCGGGATGAAAGGCAATATGCCTGGCCTCATTAGAGCGCTTCCGAGAAGAGAGATGGAAGAGCGTTCCCAGGGATCCACAAAAGGGAATTGACATTCCCCGAGTGTAAAGCGTCCTGGTGGAGTGCGAGCCACCACTCACACTCCACTCACCGTGTGTGTGTCCCCCCCCCCCCCCCCCCCCACCTTACCTATGGGCGTGCAGATTTATCCACTGGGGGGGCCGGACAGCTGGACCCAGCCTCCAAAGTCCAAAACACCCCCGGAGCAGAGCCGCACGCTCATTTTTTTGTGACCTACGGCGTCCATACACACCGGGATTATATAAGGAGAGACATAACAGAGGATGGAAAACGCCAGCCAGAGGAGTAACCGGTGAATCACGCGTGTCCAGATATCCGCTGGAGGAATTTGGGCTCGTCTCTTGGCAGCATTAGTCAGCACAGAGAGCTGCCTAGAGGCTGAGGGGGGGGGGACACATGGCAGTGAAAGCCTGGTCAATATTCACCAGAGGACGGACAATCGGACACTGATACTGATACTGAACTGATATTTTTTTTAATGAGGAACAAACACCTGAGCCATAATCCACAGTTTGCTAAATATCTGCAGCTCCTCTCACTGTACTGCATAGAGCTCAGAGTGTGTGTGAGTGTGTGTGTGTGTCTGTGTGTGTGTGTAGGGCAGCAGGACACGCTGACAGGAGGAAGAGAATGAAATTAAAGAAAATTAACATCGAGCAGAGATACACGGGCCTCTGACATGTGGGAGAAATGAGCGGAGTGGGGAAAACTGATACTTCTCATCCAACGTGCACATCTATGAACTCGGAGTCTTTTTTTTCCTTTTTTTTTTTGCTCCCCCCCACCCCCTCGTATGAGAGTACGCGTGCTATAGCTCTGTGTTCGGAAGTCTTTCACAACTACAAGCGCTCGCAGCCCGGTGGGGAAATACAGCGCGTTGTGCAATAAAAAAAAAAAAAAATAAGCAGATACGCCACATAGTGTATAGCGCGCGCAGGGGGGGAGCGCGAGCCCGGCCAAACGGAGGATCCGTCGCTGGAGAACCAACTGTAACAAACTGCCGAGTTAACCCGTTTCTCTCCATTCACGGGGCACCCGCGGGGCAACACACCAACCCGGGAGCCAACACGCCAAAGGCGATCTGGCACTCTATACAACCTTATATTCCCAAAAAAAAAAAACCTCCACCCCCCTTCCTCCACCTACTGTCGCCATTTTATACATTGGCCACTTGATATAAACTGCCTCCACTACAGGCAGCACATGAAAATCCAATATTCAGCAGGCGAGATATCATTTGCGTAAACAACTTTGGAGATGGCATCTCGGGCGATCGCGAGGCGTTTTTTTTTGTTGCGCGTTTTGGAGAGAGCGGACGTGTTCTTACCTCAGCGGTCGGCGGGGAAAAATGGAACCCGACATTAATATATAAATGAATTATATTGGATTAGCTCCGATCGTTGCAGCTTGGAGAGAAGACGAGGCGGACAGGGGGTCGGAGCTCTCCTCGCGTGAACCCGGTGAACTGGCGTGAACCCGTCGGTGACCACGGCAATGGACATTACATCGCGTTACCTTCCCACACCTCCTCCGGCGGCACTGTGTGAAGACGGGCAAATCAACTATGGTCGGCGGTGCAGGACGAGGGAGCTCCAAAAAAAAAAATTATAGCGAGTGTATTTCCTATGAACACGTGACGCGGAGCGTCATCCAAAATCCAAAAGCCCTTTCATCTAAAAATTTTTTGGAGAGGGGCGGGGATGAGATGGGGATATATAGTTTGTGTGTGCTCGTAAGAAGGGGAGGAGGGTCGCAGAAAACCCGGCGCACACTTTGGGTACATCGTTTAAAAAAAAAAAGGAGTGCGCAAACTAACACGGACTCATTTTATTGTTTCAATATGGCAGACGGAGAAGAGTTCAGTGATCTGTCACCTAAAAAACGGATCTTAATCATATGGCATGCTTCTCAAATAGAGTTATTTATATTCAGGAGAATAAAAAAGCCTATCTGGACTGGTTACTACTGATGGCGCTGTGGGAATTACCCATTAAAGTTCCTATTAGCCCACCGGCTTAAAATAGGCATTAGCGCACACGCGCAATAGACAATTACGCACCGTGATTGCAGCCTAATTATCCAGGCCTTTGTCTGAATGCATACGGGTCTTTTCTTTGAGACAGATCACCGGGGCCTCGGTTAAAAAAAGGGCTCGCGCCGCCCTGACCCGCGTGACCTTACTGGCCTTCCGCGCGCAAAAGCGCGCAGAGAGAGACGCGCGCAAGAGAGGCAAAGGCAGCCTTACAACAAGCTGAACTGGGTCCAGTCTAAATAGAGATGTAGGTAAAAAGAAAAGAAAATATTTCAAATATAAGTTAAAAACGGATTTTTGTTATTCTGGATAAAAATGAGAAGTTTACTCCAGAATCCCTAAATGTTCAAATCCAGCTCGTAGTTGTCAGTGTGCGTCAGGCCGTGTGTAGCTTATGTGTAACAGGTGGGCGGATTTAATAACCGGGAGCCCACTGTGCAAGCAAAAACAAATATAACACCAATGTCTTTTGGAATGCAGGAACACACGGAGCTGCGTGTCTCCAGTATTTAAGGAACAGGGATTTTCTTTTTCCCTGTCAGTGAGTCCGGGCCTCTGGCTGCCTACACGCAGACAAAAGAGACACGGTGTGGGATGAATCCCTCACCACTTACACATACACGGAACATAGAAAAAATATGAGAATGACCTGTTGATGGAAGCATATAGTGGTGTGTGGTGGCGCTATAAATGATTTACATTCGCTTGGAGTTGAAATGAGCACTATAACCTCCACCCCTCCTTTTATGAGACGGTTAAATCTGACCCCCACTCCAATTAAACCAGCCGAACAAAGGTACTACACTATTAACAGGAACGCTACCTATGTGATATTACAGAATAAATACAAACAGGCTCTCAAATTAATTTAAAAACGCTATGACGCGTTTGGAGTATATATCCTAAACGTGCATTGTTCTCCCTCTATTGCAATCTGTGCAGCCTTTCAGAGTAAAAACTGAAACTCAACAATGTCAGATAGTGTCACTGGGACGAACACAGTTCCTCTATTTGATGCTACGAGGAGAACAACCTGCCGCCAGTGAGTTCTCTGTAGGCGGAAGCCTCTCTCTGCTCTCCGTGTTTCTGTAACCGGAGCCGGACGGGGAGGAGGAGGCTGTCCACGGGTGGGGGGGGGGG